TTTACATTTTTTCAAATTTAACACTGTAAACAATTTAAATACTTAAAATTTCTTTTTTTGGTATATATATACATAAATTTCATCTTTAAAATATTTTAAATTAAATTAATAAATTTTTAAATCAATTTATTATAATGTTTTTGATTTACTCTCCTATTTCTGTCTCTTTGAAATTTGTTTTTCAATGAGTTCAACTATTTAACTTTTGAGTATATAATTAAATTATTAATTTAAAATCAACATTTAAATAACATAATAAATGAAATAATTATTCAAAAAAAAAATATTATTTATAGCACAGAATTAAATTACAGAGAACAAAATATTACATTATCACAGTTAGGACAGAGTCCTATTATTTTTCCAAAAGATTCCCTGACATTAGGAAGAGAACATAAATATGTTTTTAAACATTTTGAATGATATAAAGATTTACACTTATGAGATTCACAAACTTCATTTGGTAATTCATTTTCTAATAATGTAGTGAAACATATTGCACATTCACCATCTCGAACAAGCTTGCACAAATCATTATTGTCACTTGACATTTTGTTTGGAATTTTTGTACATAATATTTTACTTATATTTTTGAGTAAGTTTTCATTTTGATCCCATTTGTCGTTAATTATAGAATTTTGCAATATTTCCTTGTGATGATTAATTTCTGATTGACACCCATAAAATTGAAAATTTGGCATCACATTAGGATTTTCTGGATCAATAGTAAAACTTACAGAAAATGTTTCACTTAATTTTATTCTTCTAAAATTATCTTTTAATGTTGGATTATATGGTTCTATAACAATGCAGCTTGAATCTATTAAAGTAACCAAATCCCAAAATTCTTGTAAACTTTTTATTAGATTAATAAATTTTTCACAAAACTTTCCTAATGTAAAAATATTATTAAAATGAAGATCACTTATTTCACTATTTGCTTTTTTTAAAGGCAAATCATGATTTACCACTGTGATAGGTTCTTTACAATTACTTAACTTTATTATTGCTTTGTGAACTCTATTTTGGGAGTCAACAACTTCCATAGTTAATAGATTTTTTTCCAAATTAACAAGTTTCAATAATTCCCTCACACTATTTAAATCTTTTTGTAAGACTGAAACAAAATTACACATTTTTAATGGATCTTCTAATAATGATTTGTGAGTGATACGATTTTTGTCATTGATTGCTACAAATTTTTTAAGTTCAATGTAAAACTCATTAACACTAGAAAATTTTCTTTGCAAAAAATTCTTTAATGAAGGTCCTAAATATTTCATTAATCTCACATCTATATAAATTTTCCAATGAGTTTCATAACTGCTTCTAAGATCAATTTCAAAGCAATATTTTCGATTATTGACTGTAATATAACCTTTACAAAATTCTTTAGTTTGAATTAAAACCATTTTAAAAAATACTGTTTTTTTTTTTTTTAAATAACACACACATACACACACACAGTAGTTTAAAATATTTCGCGGTTAAATTTTAAAAAAGATTTTTTACTCTATGGCTTAACAATTTACATTTGTTAAAAAATTCGTGTGTGTAAGCATTAGCCTGACGTAAAATATATATATTTACTCCAGTAAAATAAATAATTTTTTTTTTAGAAAATGGCTTCTGGGAGTGTTAGTATAAATTATTTTTATTTAACGAGTAAATAATTTAATTTTTTTTTGGAATCATAATTGTAATAAAATTAAAATTTATCTTTAGGTTGAAGATCATAGAAGGAAATGGGATAGAGACCATTATATTAGGTTAGCTGCTGAAAGGCTTCGAGAGGAATTAGAAAAAGAAGAAAAAGGGAAAGATAAACATATGCCAGTCAAGAGAGAGTTACTCAAACAAAGAGATTACAGAGTAGATCTTGAGTCAAAGTTGGGAAAAAGTGTTGTTATAACTAAGAGTACACCATCCTCTCAAAGTGGAGGATATTATTGCAATGCATGTGATTGTGTTGTCAAAGATTCAATTAATTTTCTAGATCATATTAACGGAAAAAAACGTACGTATAAAACTGAGTTTCAAATTCTTAATTGATTCGAAAAAAATATGTGTAATATGTACATAAGAAATTTTTTTTCGACTGATACCTTTCGATTGTGAAAAACATACTTTTTAAAAAGCTACTCGTAGTTAATTTGTAGAAACCTTTTAAAAAAGTGAGGTATACATTTGTATTATGGCGTTAGGGGTTATTAAATTAAAATATTCTATGGCTGTTGATTTTATTATTTTAGATCAGAGAAACTTGGGAATGTCAATGAGAGTTGAGAGATCATCCCTAGATCAAGTTAAAAAAAGATTTGAATTAAATAAAAAAAAATTAGAAGAAAAGGAAAAGGACTATGATATTGAATCTCGAGTTAAAGAGCTAAAGGAGGAAGAGGATAAATTGAAAGAATACAGGAAAGAACAAAAACGAGCTAAAAAAAGACTTCATAGTGAAATATCAAAAGAAGATGGTGAATCAGGTGCACAAGATGAACTTTCTGCTATAATGGGTTTTTCTGGATTTGGTTCATCTAAAAAATAATTAACAAGACAACTTTTTTATTTTATTTTGTTTTAAAATAAAAAAGGATTTAAGTGCATTAACTATTTAATTGTGTGTAAAAAATGTATTATAGTTATTGAATAACTTACAGTAAAAATTGTATATAAGTTAATAAACACATTTTCATCTTTTTAAGTAACCATTAGTTTTTAATATCATTACCTTAATTTTTAATGATTCTCAACATATCCATTTATTCATTTGAAAATATTTGTTTACTCCTGGTGATTTATTCATTTCAAGAAAAAAAATTGGCAATGATCATTAAATTCCACCTCAATAATTTTTTTTTCATTTACCTGCAACAGGATTTATTTTAAAATGATTTTCTGATTATAATAAAATTACAAATAAAATATAATTGAAATTATCATTACACACCTGAAAATTTTTTGGGGAAAAAAAATTATTTCAAAAGTTTAATTATTATTGGCGAAAAAGTTACCCATATAAAAAAAAAAAACTTTCATGGTTGAAATTTTTTTTTAGATTTAAAGAAAATACGTTTTACATGAATGTTCTTATATATATTTTCTCTATTAATTAATTATTAATTAATATATATAATCAAAAATTTTATTAAAATTTTAGAAACACAAATTAAAAAGAAAAATTATAAAAGCGTAACTGTTACAAAATATTCCAGGAAAAAAAAAAAAAAAAAGTTTATTTACACTTTAAGAGTACGAAAGTGAAATTTTTATTTTAAAAAAAAAAAAAATTCTTAAATGAAATTCAATGAGAAAGTGGATTTATATCCATTTTATTGCTTTGATTTTTAGAAATTTTTTTTAAAAAAATTTTATTTCACATCTCTTGTTGACCGTAATTTATAATATATTTATGTGAATTCTTTTCTTTTGAATTTAAAAATAAATATATACAAATTATCAGTATAAAAATACCACATAAAAAAAATTTTAAGAAATCAACAAGATGTCTGTATACATAGTTAACGGTTTTTTTTTTTAACCGTCGCATGATTAAAAACAATATGGGTATATAAAATTATAATTAATTAAAAAAGAGAGTAAAAACTTAAAAAAAATAAATAAAAGATTTTTTTTTTTAAAAAATAGTCCTACTTCTGGTCATTTTTTTTTTTTGTTTTAATAACTTTCTCACTCCCACTAAAGAGAAACTCATTATGGAATCCATAATTGATTACAATTTGAATTGTCACGACGGTTGATGCAGCATCAACCGGAAATAAAGATTGAATTATTTTGATTCGCAACTTTGAATCCGCCTTTCTCCGTTAGCCATGTTCATTTTATCGTGTACCCGGTTTCAGTTAAGTCGTTAGTTAGTTTCTTTTTTTTTTTTTTTTTTAAATTGTTTGAGTTGAAATAAGTATTATGCGTCAAAAAACAAATTATTAAATTTATTTTGTTTTAAAACTTTTATTATGGATTTTAAAAGTAATAATAATGGATTATTATTTTTAACAATATTAAGTAACTAGGTAAGTATTGGTCATATAAACAATAATAAAATTTAAGAAAATGTCAAATGAAAATTTTTTTATATGCAAAATAATATCATTTTTGTTGCTTTATATGTGCAATGATTTTAATGAAACATATTTCATCTATTTGTTTTAATGTTTTAGTATTTGTTTGTTAATGTTACCTTTCAGTCTAGGGATGCTTAAACTTCACACTAAGTTTAAGTTTTGAGAAGTTTTTAATTAATTATTATAATAAATTAATATAATAAGGATTAATTCTTATATATAATTTTTTAGGTTAAATTACTGTCATAAAATTTTTCTTTTTTGTTTTTTTTTTTTTTTTTCAAGTGAAAATAAAGAATTTTTATATCAACAACTTATTATTGTTATCACCTATCAGAATGGTTGTAGCACCTGGTAAGTTTTTTATATTTTTTTCTTCTTATTATATCCTAATTTATAACACAATCAATTATAATAAAATATCTTATAAAAAATAAATAAAAAAAGAATTTTATAAGGTAAGAAAATAAATTGTTATTAAACATTCTTAATTTTTATAAAAAATAACTTTTCTGTAATATTTTTTTAAAAAAATATTTACTTTCAGGAAGTTATTATGTTATTTTAATTAATGAATTAATTAAAAGGTAATTAAATTAAATTTTTTTTGTTCAGGCAAACATTTTAAAACAAACAAACAAACAAACAAACATTGATTAGACAATGATTATTTTTTTAATTTCAATTTTTTAATATCAGAAGGAATTTCTTTGGTGGATTTTAAGTCTAATTTTTATAAAAGTTTGAAATTTCAGGACCGTATCTAGAACGAAATTTAAAATTGATCATTTCCGCAATTGATTTAATATATCTTCTGAGTGAAAATATTATCTTCGAGAGATATTTTTTTATGACTAATATAACGACTTTTGACTTTTTCTCTTTTGTTTTTATAATTTAAATTTGTTTAATTTTATTTTTTATATCGAATTACGCAAATTATAAAAATTAAAATCACGAACCGTTCATATTTGTTATTTAGATCGAAAAAGACATCATCACTCATACTAGTAGTGGTTAAACAACATGGCAACCATTTTTAAATCAGAAAAAATTTTGTAATTTTTTTTTTTTACGACCTGAAATTTTGAAATATGGTATTTAAAGAAAACGTGACATTCGTTTGTTCTCTTGCACTTTTTTTTCGCCTAAAAAAAAAAGGTGCACCAAACGTGTGACCTTAACAAAAATATTAACGGCACATATATTATTATTATTATTATTATTATTATTATTATTATTATTATTATTATTATTATTGATGAGAAAAAATATTTTGTACCTTTATAAAAACAATAATAAGTGTTTAAAAAAAAAAAACGAATTTCCAACGTATATCGTGATATTTAAACATACTTAAATACTTAATAACATATATATATATGTAATTCATTTACGAATAATAATGATTATTCATAGTTTTTTTTTTTTTTGTATAAATTTTACTTTTTCAAAATATATATATAATTTTCAATATAATATAATATTTTTTACACTATTATTTTCACGATAATAAATTTTGACCTTTTATTAAAACGGTTGAAATCGTTTCAGAAGTTAAATAAAAAATAAAAATTAATAATATTACTTTCGACTTTTTATTTTTTATTTTTATATATGTATAATTTTGACATTATTATTATTATTATTATTAAATTTTATCACATTATAAATTTACCGTATCGAGTAATAATATGTCACGTAAATTTTTTTTTTAATGCGTAAAAAAAAAAAAAAAAAAAAAGTAAAAAAATTTTCTCTTCTTGCAAACTGAAAATCTAATTATGGTATTTATGTTTCAAATATAATTTATTATTATTATTATTATTATTATTATATTAATATTATGCTTAGGTCATCATTGTTTATACAAGTTTTTTAAAAAAATGAAAGTTTTAACCGGGATTAAATTTGAATTTGTGTAAATAAAATCTACTTAGAAAATTTTTCATTATCAAACTATGTAAAAAAAATTTATTATTATTATTATTAACAATTCGTGCATTGACATAATTACGATATAAAAAAAATTATTATTATTCTTAAAACGAATAATTTATTATTATTATTATTATTATTTTTAGGTTCGAACAATTTAGAAGGAGGACGTTATAAACAGTATATGAGAGAACCGAGGTCTTTACCATCGTCTGGTAGGTCAAACTAATTCTTATTTATTATAAATTTTTTTTTTTTTGTTAAATTTCAATTCTTATAAACAATTACCTGAAAATTATTATTATTATTATAAAAACACGAGTTGAAATTATTTTTTACGTTATTGTTAAATTATATATATATATAACTTCTCGAGTTTTGCCGCCATTTTTTTAAAAATATTATTTGTTAATGAATTAAACGTATATGCGTCGTGTTATTAAAAAAAAAAATTAATTAACGGTTATGGTAATACAAATTACGATTAACAGTTCAAATTATGCGTGTGTGCGTGATGGAATTTTCTAACCAATGCCAATGAAAACAGTTATTTAAAGTCTTCTGCTTTTATTTATATTCAAATTCAATATGAATAAAATATATTACGAACAGTTTATTAATTAAATTTTTTATGTATTATAAGAATTTGAGCAAATAAATATCATCATCATCATCATCATCATCATCGTACTACTAGTATTATTATCATTATTATATCGTATGACATATTTGTGTATTCGGCTGTTTTTTTTGTGTCAATCGCAAAAAAAAAAAAAAAATTGTCGAAATAATTTTTTTTTTTTGTTTTTATTTTCACGTTATCATAAAGTTATGATTGACAGTTTAAATAAAAAAAAATTTCATAAATCCATGTGCTATCATAGAAGAGAGAATAAAATGCCGCCGCCCCCCCTACATCAAGGGGTACCAACTAAAAATCTTAGACTGAACTTTCAAAACCAAAATGAGGAAAAAAAAGTGTATAACTTGCGTAATTTACTATTATATATTTCCCGTTTTATTATTATTATTATTATTATTATTATTATTATTATTATTAATTTAAATTCAAAATGTGTGTTAATAATATCCGTTCTAATTATTTGAAAATTTTATCGTACAACAACAACAACAACACACCAGAAAAGGTGCGGCTAAATATTTGTTTGTTTCAAATTTATTTTAAACCCGTTGGATTGAAATTAATTTATATTAAAATCACATAACGAATAAAAAAAAAATAAAATAAAATAAAATAAAGGATTATGTTTTTGTTATTATTATTATTATTCGTCATGGTATTAGAACCAGAAGAAGAAGAAAAATTTAGTCGAATGTCAGTGTCAAGTGTAACAACAGTCGAAGATTGTCGTCATGATTACGGTAAAATTATTTACGGAGAAGTTAAGGATCGATCGCTTTCGTACCTGGATTTAAGAAATCAATTTTTTTTTAACGATAAAAATAATAATAATAATAATAATAAATTTGAAAGCGTTAGAAAATTTGGTAGGCCGAGACAACAATTTAGTGAAAATTTTATTTTTAAAAATTTTACACAAACGGATGATATTTTGGTAATGAGAAAAAAAAAACTATTATTATTATTATTATTATTATTATTAATTTTATTTAATATTATGTATAAAAATAATTAAATTTTTATCAGGAAAAAAATTACGAGAGATATCATTTTGGACAGTGTTTGATACTTCCAAAAATTTCAACTCTACCACCAAAGGGAAACAATCATCATCATCGTCGTCGTCGTTTGAAAAAAAATGAAACGAATAATAATAATAATTCAATAAAAATAAATAGAAGGAAAAACGAATCAAAGAGTTCAAAGAAAAATAATAATAATAATAATAATTTTCAAGAAGATATAGAAAAAATACAACAAGAGGAAATGTTTGAACGTGCGGAAATTTTCCACAACCGTGCAAATAAATTATTAAAATCTTCTCATCATAATGAAAAATCAACAGTTATGAATGAAAACGTTGAAAAAAAGAAAAAAAAACACGTTTTACATAACATTTACGATGACGATGACAACGACTACGATGTCGAAGCACAAAATTTCGTTGGGAAAATATCAAACAATCAACGACAGGAAGAAAACCGTGAATTTTACAATGATAATTTAACTTTGGATGAAAAATTTGAAGAAATAAGAAAAATAAATAAAGTTAAAGAAAATATTGTTAGATGTGAAGAAAATTGGAAAATGAAATCGTTAAAACAAGAAGATGATAATGATCATCATCATCATCATGACGATTGGAAATTTGATGAAGATGGATATGGACGTAATAAAAATTATTTGGAAAATGATGAAAAAATGAGTAATAATTTAATGGAAAATCAAACGAGTGAAGAATTAAATGAAAAAAAATCAAAAATTGATTTTTTAAGAAAAAAACTTGAGACAAATACTCCTACTGCTGGAAATCCAGACATTTTGGAAAAATCATTAAAAACAAAAAAAAATATCCATCCAGGAAATTCATATGAAACAAATAAAAATCGTGGTTCCGTTATAAATATATGTTCTAGAAGTTGGGAGGGTGAGTGAGTCTTTTTTTTTTTTAAATTGAAAATAAAAGAAATTTTCTTTTTAACAATAACTAAACAAAATATCTTGTGATTTACACATACACATTCACTCTCTCTCTCTCTCACCATTCATAAAAAAAAAAAAAACTTTTTCTTATTGTTTTTTATTTAATTTGTTTTTATGAAAGAAAAAGTATTACTAACAAATTCAAATATGTTTATTTAATCTAAATAATTTAGTTTTAGTTTTAGTTTTACTACTAATTTTCTCACTAAGGTACTTATTATCATTATTATTAAAATTCTCATTTATTGTGTGTTTGTGTGTGGGATTAAAATGTTTGTTTTTAAAACTGTTCAAGTTCAATAGTAATGGTGGTGGTGGTAGTTATGAATGAAATTTAAATTATTTATTTATTTATTTATTTAATGATGCATTGTAAAAATTTCACGGTTAACCGTATGTGTGGTGTGTATGTGCGTGTACGTATGCGGTTCACCTAAGAAATGGAAAGTATAATAATAAGTCAAGGGTATAAAAAAAATTCTACTAACAAATATTAGTTAGTTAAAAAGCAAAAGTTTGTTTGTTATTGTCTCTCTCTCTCTCTCTCACTCTTTCTCAGATCATTAAACAATTATTTAATTAACCACTATGAAAGAAAAATCTCTCCTTCTCTCTCTCTCTCTCTCTTTCCCCCCACACCATCTTTCACACTGGCCGTTTACCATCTATTCTCCCCACTTTTTTTTTAAATTTAACGATTTGTAGAAAGTGGCACTTTTTAAAAATTTTCTATCTCACATTTTCATCTTTATTCAACCATCATCTCTCATTTCTCTTCTTGTCATTGTTAGTGCGCGCGTTAAACGTTATTCATTATATATATTATTATGTTACCTGTCATTTAACCGTTTGTTGTTGTTGTTGTTTTGATTAATGTTGTTAAGGTGAATTATTGTGTAAATTAATTTTTTTTTTTTTTTGTATGAAAACACACGAAAATATTATTATTATTATTATTACTTGATTAATTAAACCGGTGGCGTTAAATTTTTCTTCTTTTCTTTTTTTGTTTTGTCACTTTAATTTTTTTCCCTCATTAAAATTCCACGTAAAAAAAAAAAAATTTTTTAAATTTTTATTATTTTTTACAAAAAAAAAAAAAAAAAAAAAACCTAAGGGTAGTAGTAATAATAATAATAATAATAATAATAATAATAATAATATATTTATTTAAATAGGATCGAGTTTTAATAATAATAATAATATGTGTTAAAAAGAATTGTAATGGAATACTAAGACGACAACGATGACGATGATGATTATAATGATGATGATGATCCTCATTTGTTGCTCTCAATTTTATTCAAAAAAAAAAAATTACTTTCACCTTAATTTTTTTTTTACGAACCTGTATGAGAAATTATTTCGCTCGTGTGAACTTAAAAAAACTTAAACTTAATTAGTAGTAACGAGAATCTTTTTTTTTTTTTTTTTTTTTAATAAAGTCACGATATTGAATATAATATTAACACAGATTTTTTTTTTTTCTAACGTATTTTTCAATTAACTTATTAACTTTTCTATTCGTTTTTTTTTTAAATATTTTTATTGGTTATTTATTTATTTATTTTTTAAAATCGAATCGAATACGATACACGCGCACACACTTAATTATTTTATTTATAAACAGGTAAAAAAATAAATAAATAAATAAATTATTATTATTAATTTGCGACATAAAAAAAAAAATCTTTTTTTAAAAAATAATCACGACGGCCTATATTAATGGAAAAAATTATTATTATTATGGGTGTTCGTCGTCTACCTCTTATTCATCTAACTTTTACGAAAAAGGTACGTTGCATCCCTAAATAATAATAATAATAATAATAATAATACTAAACATTCATTTGAAAAATTTTTAAATTCGAATTAATGACGTCATCAATTTTTTTTTCTTCTCTAAAGTGTACAATGATCAGCAAGAAGCGGACAGTTTAAACGAACCACCTTTACAAGATCCGGTTTCGTTACCGGAAACGTCAGAACCGGAAAAACCACGAAAATTTTATACGGGAAAACATTTTTTTGGTAATTTTTTAACATCGAGAGTCACAACACCGACGGACATGTTTTCCAACACGGAACCTTTGTAAATTTTCTTTTTTTCCGTACCGATAACTTTATATCAAATGGGAAATTTTGTAAAAAAAAAAAATTTTTTTGATTTTATAGTTCGCAATTTTGGGTCACCCTAAGCAACATCTACGGTCAGTCATTGATCATATTGATGCTGGCTTTTACATTAACCGAAGTCATGGATAATTCTGTCAAATTATTATCTCTTCAAGTGAGTCAATATGCAAATTTTTGGCTTTTCTCAAATAATAATTTTGCTAAACATTATCGAAATCATTCTAACAGGGTATCTACCTCATGTATTTATACGTCGGAAGCATAGCCGTTATTATTTGCATATATATTTGGGTGCTTATCGATAGTTGTTCGTCGATAAATAACGATTCGACAACGGGACTCGTACCTAGAACGATAACCACAGGAGTGATACACGATAAAGAAACGGATGTACAAAATTTATCATCGTTAACGAAATTTGGATCGTTGAAAAAAGCACACATATCGAGAGATAGAACTTCAAATACAAGCTTTTACTTAAGGATCGGTGCAATCGGTAAACGACCCCCCCCCGAGATAAAAAAAAAACGTTTTTTTTAAACACTTTTAAATAATTTAAATAAAATTTTTTAGTTTTCGGTTTGGGTACTTTGGTGTTTAATGGTTTAGAAATGGCCATGCATTCAATGATGGAAGGTTCATGCTTGAATGACGTCGTTTTCGTTCATCCGATTCTTCACGGATTGTTTACATTTTTACAAATGCATTTTTTATTTGTCAATTCTCAGGTATTAATTATTATTATTATTATTTTTTTTTTCCTATCATAAATTTTATATATATGTGAAATATTTTAGGTTTTAGTTGAAAAATTCGGTTTAGCTGCAAGATTTGGATTCATGCATTTGGCGGCAACAAATTTAGCTCTTTGGATAAGATTAGTTATATGGGAAAGCGGAAACGAATGGACTCATTATGTTTTCTTATCAATTAATGATAAAAATTATGAAAGTGACGTACCTACTCCCTTACATTTGAGAAGTTTTCCTAAATTTATAACGCGAGTAGACAAAGATTCATGTGAGTTTTCATTTTTTCTATGTTATGTTATGTGATGCCGGAATTTTTAAAAATTATTAATAAAAAAATTTTACAGTACCTTATCATGTAGTTTCCAATGAGCACATAAATCAAGTTGTTTCTCTTCATCAATGTTTAAATACCAACAGTCTCGGACAATTATGGACTTCGTCTATGCCTTTTCTTTATCCTTTTATTATTCAATTCAGGTACGAAATTTCGTAAAGTCGAAGTTGACGCTTCTTATAATTATCTGGAAAAATTTCAAAAAAAATTTTTTAATTTTTGCAGTATAATAGCTGCAGCGGTGACGTACATCATGGGTCAAAATGTTGCCAAAGATCATTTATTTTTTCAAAAACAAAAGAAAATAGGAATGACTGATTCGAAAAGTTGCACACTCGCGACAACATTGCACGAAAGTTTTAATACTTGGGGTGTGGATTGTGGGGGAGCGAGCAAAGGACTCTTTTTAGGCATCCTCTGCCTCGTTACGGGTGTCGTCGTAATAATTATATTTTTGGTTGTCAAAGCAAATGAAGATTTTCCGGCAGAGACAATATTTTGGTTAATCAACGGCACTTTGATGGCCATATTAAGTATAACAATTATAATGAACGTGATCGGACTCATACAAATCAGAAAGCTTTCAGTGATTGGTACAAAATTACCTTCTTTGGATAAAATTTTGTCCGTGTCTTCGATCTTCGGAGTCCAACTTTATACAATAATGGGAATCGTAGCGGGAAGCGCAGGTACGGCGTCCGAAGAAACTCTCGAAGAAATTTCATCTCCTTTGCAAAAACGACACAGCATGCTGTTGGCTGTAAGCCTCGTTCAACTCGTCCAAACAATCATGCAAAGCTGTTTTATAGTCGAGGGCATGCGAAGGACATCTTTGTCTCGTACTCAAATTGTAACGAAGCCCGCACGTCAAGTTGTTACGTTTTTAATGTTCAGCAATTCCGTTTTGTGGGCATTCGACACGTTCGTCATACAAAATTGGATGTCGCAAGAACTTCAAATTCGTTTTTTCGGTATCCTCGCATGGGGTGTCATATCTAGAATAAGTTTGCCCTTACTTATTTTTTACAGATTTCATTCTTGCGTGCTCTTATTGGAAATATGGAAAAAATCTTATCATTCTATACACGTAGATCCGGGAAACTGAAAAAAAAGGCGTGCGAAACACCCTATTGGGTTTATCATTTAAATTATAAAATATCGTCAGCCATTTTCTTGCCAGAAAATATATACATATTAATTTAATAAAATAAATATACTTAACTTATTGCACATCGTACGCTTTTGAGTCACCATTTTTTCCCCCTTTTTTTTTAGGTTGCCTTTTTCCCTTTTAAATTTAAAAAAAAGGCAACTTTTTGTACTTATTTTTTTTTTTCTTCTTCTTATTTATAATAAAATAATCATATGAAAATATATTTAAACATTAAAATATTATAAAAATAATTAAATTTAGAATATAAATAATATATATTTAGAATTTTATTTTAAATTGAAATTTTTTCATTCACCACATGTGACAAATATAAATTTAAATAAATAAAATTTATAATTATCGGGTGAATTACTATCATTATTATTATTATTATCAATACTATAATAAAAAAAAAAAAAAAAAAAAAAAAAAAAAAAACTAATTTAAAACCATTTAGTAAAAGAAAAAAAAGAAAAAACTACTCAGTCTTTTTATTTTAAATTATTTTCATGACTTTTTTTAATCGTTTTATAAATTAAAACGAGGGGGTGAGGGGGAAACATTGAGCACAATTTTTTTTTCGAATTGTAATAAATCCTTAAATTTGACCTTAAACCTTTTAAATAAAAAAACTACAAATAATTTTGATTTTTTTTTTTTAATAAATTAAAATAAGAAAAGAAAAAGAGAGAAAAAGAAAACAAAATTTTGCCAAAAACTGGAAGAAAATCAGGAAAAAAATGGCTTTTTAAATAATTCCCCTTTTTTTGAATTTTTTTTCGAGGTAAACATTAATCGAGGTCTATATCAGCAGCGCTACTGGGAGGTTTAGGAACTCCACCACCTCCTGCTCCTCCTCCTCCTCCTCCCTGATTTCCAGATTTATCACCGAAAAATGATGAAAAGGGTCCACCGAAACCCGGGGGTTTTTGACCTTTTGAAAATTTCGATGTTAATTTTTCCAAAACGGCGCTCACTTTTGGATTATTTTGATATTTCATTATATTTGCTGGATTTCGGGAAATATCATTGAACGCTTCCGATATCTCAGGATCCTGGAAGAAATATCCAATTTAAAAAAAAAAGAATGTCGGCCGTTACAACCTGTGAAAAAAAAAAAGAAGAAAATCTCACCTTGAAAAGATTCATTATTTCCGGATCTTGGAAAAAATTAAAAAAATCTCCCATTCCGCCCCCGCGTCCACCCCCGCTTCCCCCATCTATCCCTTCATCATCCGAATCGTGATTTTGATCTTTCATTTCCGCAGCCCTCCTTTGCTGTTCTTCTTTCATTTTACGTATTCTATCCCTTATAACTTTAACTTCTTTTTCCAATCTTTTCCTTTCGTATTTCCTTTGATGTTCTTCTAATTTTCTAGCCTGTCAATAATAAAAAATTTTCTTTTACGCTCAAATATTAGGTACATATTTTATTTATTTAATTCAACGTGAGAGAAAAAAAAAAAAAAAGTTAATAAATAAAAATTTTTTATTTAATTTTGGGGCCCTCCCAAATATGGACGAGAGCCCTAAACTCAATCCTAAATATAGTTCAAGTTCGGGTTTTGCCGGCTAACTTCGAGGTGTCTCACGATCTTATTAAGCCCCCCTTTTATTTTTTTATATCATTTATTAAAAAAATTAAAAAATAATTAAAAAAAAAAAAAATTTTTTTTTATATTCAACTACCATCGTATTAAACAAATTATTATTATTATTATCACGTCGAAAAAAGAAAACAAAACAAATAATAAAAAATAAATAAAATTTATTATTAATTATTTTAATAGGGAGAATCATATATAAAACGTTTAGCTTGTAGCTTTAAACAATGAAATAATAATAATAATAAAAGTTGCGAATGATATTATAAGACAACTTATATATATATATATATAATAACAACCGATTGAAATATTTAAATGATGATGATGATAATATAAATGCCAGGAAAAAAAAAAAAAGTAAAAAATTGCCATTGCCGCCATTCGTTTGTAAGCCAAACCAGGAGGAGGCGTTTTGGGTTTTAATCAGGGGCAAATTTTTTATTTACGTCACAAACACAAAATAATGACGGCATTGCAACAAATTTAAAATTTTTTTTTTTTCTCTCTTTTACTCTTTTCTATTTTTCTCTGTAATTTTTTTTTTTTTATTAAAAAGATTTTATTCGTTGGTCGGTTGCGGGTCTGAAACACCGCCGTGAGAAAAAAAAAAAAAAAAAACTACAGATACCCCCACGTCGCGGACTTTAAATTTCTATTTTAATATTTAAAATAAAATATGTTAACGTCACGATATTAAAAAAAAAAAAAATTTTTTTTTTATATATATATACTTTAATTATATAAATGAAAGTGGAATCGGGGAGGTGATGGGTGTCAAAGCTGGAAAAACGCCGGGTTTTCATCGGTTTTCTTCGGGCTTTAATTGGTTAGTAGGAGGAATTGGAATTTTCACCTTGATCCTTTTTGTTTTCGTGCAAGGTGAGTAGATTTTTAATTTTTTTAATTTTTTCCCCTCTCTTAAAAAACATCTTTTTCATAAAAAAAAAAAAAATGGCGCCCATACATACTAAACCTTTTTTATTATTATTACACGTTTCGTGATATTCATTTAAATTATTACCGGCATAAATATAAATTTTTTTTGCCCAAAATAAAAAAATGCATTTTTATCAAAAAGACAAAATTAAACGGGGTTGCCCTCGTAACAATTATTATTATTATTATATAAGAAATTAAAAATGGCGTCTGGCCAATCGTGTTATTAATTTTAAACGTTCATTTGATACCTTTATGAATTAAATTTTTTAATATATATTTATATTAAGAAAGAATTTTTAAAAAATGAAATAAATTCCGTATAGGATGTTGAGCTGCAGCAGCAGCAACAACATCAGGAGCAGCAGCAGAAAATATTATCTCTCTCTCTCAAAAAAAAAAAATTATATAAAATAATTATTTTTAGTTTATATCATTGCTCGTCAAAAGATCGTCGGGGAGATTTATTTTTATCGTCCGACTAATTGATTATGTAAAAACTAGAATGAGACAGAAAACCAATATTATAAAAAAAAAAAATTGTTCCTAATAATATTTGTGCCAAATTTTCTATTTCAATAATAATAATAATAATAATAATATAAAGATTTATATATAAATATTAAATAAATAAAAAAAATTTCTGTATAACGCACACATGATTTTTTTATAAAATGAAAATTTTAAATATTCTTATTATTCTCTTATAAACTTCAATTTTTTTGATAAAAAAAATTATTTTCAGGTGCAAATTGCGATGCCGAACCAACAGAATCACAATGCAGGCAATATATAGAAAAGGCTTTGAAAGAACAACACTTGGAAGAAACATCGACAGAAAACATTTTAAATGAAGAGGTAGAGTAAAAAAATAAAATAAAATAAAATAAAAAATTTCTTCATAAAAATTATTGACAAACGTAGTTCATGTGCCAATCCTGCATAAAACCAGGTACGCCAGGGCTTTTGCCTAACAATCATAATTTTTGTTATTTCCAAATATCAATTATTCGTTTTTTTTTTTTTTTTACTCTAACAATTTTTTTTTGCAAACCAATCGACAAATGATTTTACTTAAACAAAAAAATTATTATTTCGTTTTACAGAAAGATAACGTGTCAACTGAACAATTAGTAGATAAATTAGAAAATTTAGATTCCGTAGATACTCATGAATATGGAGGAAAAGAAAACGAAACGGACAACGACGACGATGACGACGACGACGACGACGACCCAAACACCGAAAGTATTGAAGTAGATGAAAATAAAACGGAAGAACAAATAACCGATTCAGACGATGAAAATAATACGAATAATGAAAGTACTGAAAATGATAATGCTGATAAAGTTGATGATATCGAAATGGATACCGAAGAAAGCACTGAAACGCAGCCTACGAGTGATGAAAAAGAAGAAGAAAAAGATGAAAAAAGTGTAGAAGAAAATAATAATGATGAAATTCAAAATGAATCGAATGAAGATGATGAAGAATCAGATAAAGTAAATAGTGAGGAAGACGAAAATGAAAGTTTAGATCGCCCAATTGAAATCGAAACTCGGGAAATCAATATCGATGACGACAACGACGAAAAACAAGATGACAGTCAAGAAGAAAATGAAAAAGCAGACGAGGAAGAAGATACTACAAAGAGTTCTGAAGAAGAAAAAGATTTCCGTGAAAGTGACGAAACAAAGGAAAGCGTGATCGAAGAAACAGAAACGGAAGAAACGTCAGAAGAAAAACTTGATGACACCAACGTTGAAGATACGAGCGATGTGAGTGAAGAAGAATCAGACAAGGGTGACATTGCAAGTACCTTAGATGAAGAAGAAAAAGAAATAAAAGTTGAAGATGATGTTGATGTTGGTGTCGATAAAGGTGATAAAGAAGATGATGATGACGACGACGACGACAGTGAAAATAAAAAGGATATTGAGGAAGAAAGCAAAATGGACAGCGACGAAGAAAAAGAAACGACCGAAACTGATTACACAACTCATACACCAGCAAAAGAAAAACTAGAAGAGGAAAAAGAATCATCCAAAGGTAGTAAAATATTAGAGAGAAAACTTAAGAACAATAAATGAAAATAATATTACTATACTGTTTTCAGAAAGTAAAGAGGAAACAGATGATGGCGAACAGAAAACACCCGAAGAGGAAGAACTCATACAGGTATTTAATAAATAATTGAATTAAATTATTGATTTAAAAAAAAAAATTAAATTTGAAAATGGAAAATTTCAGGGTGGAATCATTCCAGAAAATCTTCGACCGAGAAATCATATCGATCAAATATTAAAACTTGACGAAGATGCTAAACTGGAAAAAACTGTGGCCAAAGCAATTGACTCGACTTTAAAATCATTGAAAAATCTTTATGATAATGCCATTAAGCCATTGGAAATGTTATACAAATACAGAGATCTTAGCAACCGACATTTTGGAGGTTAGTTAACAACATTTCCATACATATATATATACATTTATTCCTTAATTAACACTTTAACAACAATTCCAGATCCAGAAATTTTTTCCAAACCTCTTATTCTTTTCATGGGACCCTGGAGCGGAGGCAAATCAAGTACAATTAATTATTTACTTGACAATGAATTTACTCACACCTCTCTAAGAACAGGTAAAAAAAATTAAAATTAAATTTAAATTTAAAAAAAAAAAATATTTCTAAACCATCAGCACTAAACTGTAACAAACAGGAGCTGAACCGTCACCGGCTTACTTTAACATTCTCGTATACGGAGAAGAAGAAGAAATTTTAGACGGAACGCAACTTGCAGCCGATTGGACATTCTCGGGTTTACAAAAATTTGGACAAGGTCTTTTGGACAGGCTAAAAGGAATCAAGCTCCCCAACAAACTTTTGAAAAAAGTAAAAGAATAAACACTAAATCGAATAAATACAATATACCTAATTTCCAGTATTTTAACGTAATGTGTAAATTTTTATAGGTGAACATAGTCGAAATTCCTGGAATTTTAGAAATAAGAAAACAAGTTCAACGAATCTTTCCTTTTAACGATGCGTGTCAATGGTTTATAGACCGGGCGGATATTATATTTCTCGTTTATGATCCCTCAAAGTTAGATGTGGGTCCAGAAACGGAAGCAATTTTAGATCAACTTAAAGGAAGAGAATATCAAACAAGAATAATTTTGAATAAAGCAGATCAAGTAAAACCTGAGGAATTGATGAGAGTGCAAGGAACTCTTATATGGAACATTTCTCCTCTAATGTCGAGTACGGAACCACCAGTTATGTATTCGACATCCTTATGGTCGATGCCGTACGAAAGCGGAGCTCCTACTAGGCTCCTTTTGGCCCAAGAACGAGCTTTTTTAAGAGATTTACGAGAAGCTATTGACAAAAGAGTAGAAAATAAAATTTCCAGCGCGAGGCGATTTGCTGTAATAATTCAATTTAATCAATTTTACATTTACATATAGTACTTTTGGGATATAAAATAATAGTAGAAATTATTTACAGGTGCGAGTAAGGAATCACGCCAAAATGGTGGATTGTTACCTGACAACTTATTACAATCACAAGTCGTTCTTTGGGAACCGTAAGAAAATATCTGACGATATTATTGACAACCCGCAAAAATATCACATTTACGAAGGTCTGAGCACACTCACAAACATATCTAGATACGATTTACCAGATCCGGATGTTTATCGAGACTTTTTTAGAATCAATCCACTTTTCGAATTTCAAAAACTTTCGGAAACGTGCACGTATTTTAGAGGATGTCCCATTAACAAATTAGATATAGCTATTGCTTACGATCTCCCCGAACTTATAGGAAAATACAAGAAAAGTATAGATTTAGCAAAAGAACCGTCGCAAAAGAAAGACAACAGCTGAAAATGAAATTATTTTATAGAAACAACTGTTTTCAAATCAAAGAGCAAATTAATTAAATTAAGTAATTTTTTTTTTTTGGTTTTTAGTAGATACGAAACTGAAGTTTTCGATTAAAAATGTTACACAATACCTAAAGTTAAACTCCAATTTATAAATGATTAATTTTTTTTTTAATTATGTGCTACCTGACTCCTTTACTTAATTTATTATCCTAAACTAAAGGTAGAACAGAATTCAATGTTCAATGAGGCAAATTTAAAAATATTTTAGTGTCAGTTTGAAATTAGTCTTGGAGTTATGTAATTACTAAAGAGAATAACGAAGAAATTTAAACAATTTAATGAGAAAACATAATTTAAAAAGGTTTTATGTTTAAAGAAAATAATTATTTACTTTCACGAAATGGTATGGTAATATATAAAAATTAATAAAATAATAAAAAAAAGTTTTTGATCTAAAAAATCCTTTCACTTTGAATTTTACAAAAAAACTACAAAATTATTATTAAAATGAAGGCATTGTGGAGTATATCAAACTGATATAGACATATTTTTAAAATTAATTTCTCTTAATAAAAAAAAATTAGAATTTTTGTTATTTAAATTAAAATTTTTAAATGTTTTGTTAAATTTAATGTATATGGTCATAAGAGAAAGAAAATTTGGGGAGCAATTAAAAATAATTTAGTTTACTGTTTTACTCAAAACATTGCTTTGGTTAAATTTCTTTGATGAATAAAAATAATATTTAAATTGGTAAAAAAATTAAATATAAATAATAAAAATGTACTCACATTAGGAGTTACTTCCTTAAGCCATTCATCAGCTTGTTCATCAAAATCAATTTTACAGGCATTTCTTAAATCTTCAGCAGCTTTAACAAAATTTCCCAACAAACGATGTGCTCTACCTCTAAATTTATAAGCAGCTGCACTATCAGGATTAATTTCTAAAGCTCTAGTGCAGTCTCTAACACAAGCATTTGGTTTATTTAACTGAAGATAACATTGGCCACGTTTGGCATGCAACATTGCCGAATCTAAAGAGAAACAATTAAACAAATGCATTTATTTTTCACACCAAAATTATTTATGATTTTAAAATATTTTTTTTTAATTTTATAAGTTAAATTTATTCTTTAAAACTATTAAAAACTGAGAAATACTTACTTGGATTAAGCAAAATAGCTTCAGTGTATGCATTAATAGCTTCCTCATACTTTTGCTCACAAAATAATTCTATGGCAGCTCTTTTACGTTCATCAGATTTATTTATATCATCTTCTGTAACTTCTTGATTAGTGTAACCCATCGGTTGAGGCGGATCATTGTCTGGTTCTAAAAATAATTAATTTCAAATTATTTAAAATACAATTTTATAATTAAAATTTAAAATAAAATAATAATATTATTATTAAAAAAAAAAAAACATATAGTTACCAATTACTCCTTCATAATCCAATTCTACTTCACTTTCTTCCGACTCGACTTCTTCAACATCTGGTTTTGTTTTCTCATCCTTGACTTCGGTTTCAATGTTTTCTTTGCTTTCTTTACATTTTTTTGGTGGAACAACTCCACCTAATGATTCAATATAATTTTTAAAAAAATTTAAATCTGGATGGTGAAGAATATTGGCATCTTTTTTGCAAACATCAATAAAAAGCTTTAAATTTTTCAAATGGTCTGCAGACAATGGACAAGCCATATCAAAACCCTAAAATAATTTTTGAAAATTAAAAGTTATATAAAATGGAAATTTAAATTTGCTTTTATGATTTATTTTAGTCATTAGACAAAAAAAAAAAAGATAAAACAATGATAACCTAATTATATAATTTATAACGAGAATCAAACATATTCTACCGGTTTTTATTCGGGGAGAAAAAACCCTTTTCGAAATGTATAATATATTATATGAACAAGTTATGAACATACAACGTTCACAAATAACTTGTATTTAAGAAAAAAAAACTAATTTTCTTATTTTAAAATTGTTAAAAGAAATTTTTTTTTTCTATTCAGTTTCTTGCACTACTTTTTTTTTAAAAACACAATTATCCATTATGATGCAATAAAAATTATTTAACTAAAAAATAATTATTATAATAACCAATTTTTTTTTCAATATGAATTCAATGTTATTTCAGACAAAAGAATAAAATCTAATTAGTATAAATTTATTAAAATTTAAATAAAAGAAGGGTCAATGATGGCAGAGTAATGTAATTAAAAAATGCATTTATGCTAATTAAATACAAGTTCTTACAAGAAGCCATAATGCTTTTAAAACAAAAATTTAGTGCCTTTGCAAGTAATAAAAAAAAATTTATTAAAATTAACTTTAAATAATTAAATATTATATCCTTTAAATGAATTTGATATAAAATATTAGATTAAACCGGAATTAATTATTGTAGAAAATCAAATTAATGCATAAATGAATACCAAACACGAACTTCCAAAAAAAAAAGTTATAAACCAAAAAATTTTTATTAAAAACTAAGAGTTATTAAAATATTAGCTTTAATTTTTTAATTAATGTAATATTTATAATAAAAATATTAATATTTTAACTAACTTACCATAAACGTGTTACCAAAAACGTATTAAACTCGAGAATCTATTTAATAATGTCTGTGAAGCCAAATAAAAAACTTTTGATTTAATGGCGAATTTTTTCCCTCCTTTTCGATTCCCTCCTTCAATGGTTCCCGCAGTAAATCGAACGTTAAAAAAAAAATTTCAAAAATTTCATGTAAACTAACTAATAAATCACAAAAAAAATAAATTAAAATAAAATATTTGTCATTTACAACGAATAATATCAATTAAATATTTGCTTTATTAAATCAAAAAAATCATAACAAAAAAATAAAACAAAAAATTGTTTTTTTTTTATAATAGGAAAGCTTTTATTGTAATTTTTCTAATCTTAAATTGCCTTAACTTAATTTTTTATTTGACAAAATCCATAAATATATGTACCATAAATGTCTTCAGCAATTCAAATTAAAAAAAAGAACAAAAAATAATAATAATAATAATAAATAATATATAATTTTTTTTTTTTCAAGTTACAAAAACAAAAAATAACTAAAACTTAATAATTTTCTAATAGCTATTATGGTATTTTTTTTATTAATAATGATGATCATTTAACTATTTTTTTCCTTTTATTGTCAGAATATTTAATATATATATATATATAATTTATATTATCAATCAATCATTTGTTTAGCTTAGGTAATGAATGACTTATTTACTTTTTTTTATAAATATTTTGAAATATACACAATTCAAAATAAACAAAAAAACATTTTTATAAAATTATTATTATTATTACATAAGCTAAAATAAATTGTTTATATATTCAACCTAGATACCTAGTTTAAATATTAAAGAAAAAAATGATATTATTTCAATTATTATTATTATTATTATTTATTTAAATACATTTATTATACAATATTTTTATTTGTTTTCATCAAGCGATATTTTTACTCTTCTTTTAAATATAATAATATTTATATATATTTTTGTTCTTCTTTTTAATGATAACTTTAAATAATAAATTCTTAATTTAATTTACTAAATTTTATTTTTATATATATATATTGTAAATATAAGGGGGAGGGAAAAAAAAAGCTAAAAAAAAAAAAATTATTGCAAATAAACCGGTAAAAAAAATTTTTCTTTCTAAATTACACATTTCCAACTATGACAATAAAATATATTATTCAATGAATAAAAATAAAAAAATAATAATAATAATTTTTTCCTGAAATCTACCTCAGTGTGAAATATAGTTAAAGCATACCTACTTATTTCGACTAAATGCAATAAATGTAATCACAGGTACAGATCAATCTCTTATAATTATGTAAAAAATTATAATTAATAATATATTTTTTATATAAATGAAAAAAAAATATATATGTATAATTATTGGTTATTATAAGCTTTAAAAAATTTCAAATATTATTATTATTATTTTAATGAAACAAATGGAATGTTGTAGTAGAGTTAAAAAAAAAATATTTTTGTAATTTGTTTTTTAATTTTATCAAATACTGAAACTTATTATTGAGAAAATTAATTTTAAATAAATTCAATCGGAAATTTAACAATTAAAAACATTTGCTTTTGTTAATATGTACAGTTGGAAAAAAAAAAAAAAAATACATAATCATTTTTTACGTAGTATATTATATTAATAGACAGTTCGATGAATACTATATACTTAATATCTGTGCTCTTTTCAATTTCAATAACATAAATTTTTTTTTTTTTTATTATAAAAATTCGAATTATTTGACACTTTTAGTTTTTTAACCACCCTTTTTCCCTTCTTTTAGATTCTTTTACAATCTAAATTGAAATTTTAATTTTTTTTTAAGTAAATTGATAAATCGTTCGGACGAGATTCGAAATAAAATTACATACAAATATGTAATAATTAATTATTGAAAATTAATAAAAAAAAATTTTTGTTTAGGCAGATTTCAGAAAACTTAATCCTATCCTTGTAAATTAATTCTTTAAAAAATTAATCGTTTATTTTAGGATATAATTTATATAAGTGTATATATTTCTTTATGTACGGTTTAAAAATTTTTATGAAAAATATTTTATTCACTACTTTCAAAAAAAAAAAAAAAACTTTCAAAAATAAATAAGGAATCCTTTTTTTCTTTTATTAAAACTGATCAGAGAGCAATTCGCATATTTCAACGGAAACTGGTTCTTTGCTTGATCGAACAGTGAGGCGAAACATCTAAAAAAAAAAAAATTTTAATCCATAACTCAATTTTTCTTTTTTTTTTAAACATCCAGGAATTTTAAAGTGTCAAATTTTTTTTACCTGAGCCGCTTTGTTCGGTTCTAAACGTAGTAAACATCCTATTTGGGCCATCCTCGTATGAATTATTCCGGCTAAAACAAAATTATCTGGATTTGGATCGATACCATCAAGAACCTGCATACCGAATCCCATGAGCTTTGTGCGAACTACAGATAAATCCATTGGAGTAGAAGCTTTAAATATTTTTTGCGCTCTTTGTTGACTTACAAAAAAAAAAAAATATTAAAATGATTATTTTAAAATTTTGTTTAAAAAAAATATAAAAAAAAAGTTTTATAAACTTACTTTCCGAGATTCTTCCACCGTGCAAAAAATGATTCTCCATTCATTTCAGTGGGTTGAAAGAATTTATTTATGGTCAATGGCAGTTTAATAGCATGTTTTTCAGATGTGTTATTGTAAACAAAAGAAACGACAATACTTGGAGCATCCGTATATTCTTCAATGCATTCAGCATTGACCATTTGTTGTATTTGCGCACCGCCTTCTAAAATAGGCTCGACAGGTTTCATTTGAATGTTCAGCTTACTGCTTAAGTCACTTGAAGGATTATACGTAACTGAAAAATACTAAAAAAATAAAATTTTTAATTTTTAATTTTTTTTTTTTTAAATTATAAATTTCAATTTTTTTTTCAATTTAATTTTAAATAAAAAATTAATAAATAAATAAATAAACAAACTTGTAAAGGAATTGTTGTTTTATTTCCGTAAAATAATCCCAGCCTTCCCAAATTTTGCCTAAATTCTGATTTAACGCCAATTTGTATGACATCGTTTTCAAACAATACGCCGTTACTCTTGCAAACAAATCTAATTTAAAATATTTTATAAATATAAAAATTTATACATATATAAACAAAAAAAAAATGAGGGTCTTTTTTATTGCAAGTTCATTAAAATATTTTTCCTTACTTTTTGGGATTATATCCGTTAACCGTAGGTGGAGCTGCATTGTTGACTTGAACGTTGTTGCTTGAAGAATACAAATCACCGAGAACATCTATGAGGGTTCCAGTATTATTTGTCGGAGCTGGAGGCGTAGATAACCCTAAGAGATCAGCCTGATTATTAGTTACTGTGGTCTGTAATAACATTATTTAATTTTAATAAAGAAAAATTTTTTTAGTGCTACAAAACTAAAACGTTTTAATTCTAAATATCAACACGAATTAGTAATTTTACGAAATTTTTCAAGTTTTAATAATAAATGTTAACCTGGGCGGTATTGTTATATTCAACGGAATGATTGGAACCTGCTGGAATTGGACTTTTGCTTTCCCTAATTTCATTTTCTGGAATTCTTCCAGGCTTCTTTTTCTTTAAAACGGCTAAAATAGAAGACTCTCTCTCGGGAAAAGCTGGCATTTCTTCTAAAACAGTTGCCTATCAAAATTTAAAAGTATACATTTTTTTTCATTAGAAAAAGTTAAAAAATTAAAAGTTAAAATTTTTTCATTTAAAATAAAAAAAAAAAAAAAAACTTTACCAAAACATCGGTTGATGCAACAATACTCAATTGAAGGTATTCTGAGGCTCGTTGTTGTAGCTCAGCATCGGCAGATCTTAAATTACTATGCAATCGATACACTGCTTGTATTTGATCGCGAATCTCAGGAAAAAGGTTAACAAATTTTATGTATGTCGATAACAATAAAGCACGAGTCATTGGGGAACATAAATGGTACTAAAATTAAAAATAAATTTCTTTTAATTGAAATTTACAAGTGCACAAAATTAACTGAAAAAAAAATAAAGTTAAAAAAAAATACTAACTTTGGAATGCAACAATTGAAACTGTATTGCTGGAGAAGACCTTTTATCTCCCGCAATGAGATTACCAAATTCACCGAGAATATATCCTCCTACTTTTACCATATTTTCATGACACGCAGGAGCTTGCAACGCCTGCAATAGAACATTATTATTAATACAATTATTTTTGAAAAATAGAACAAATAATGTAAAATAAATTTAGCTACCTCAAAAACTGTTTTTGCTGCGTAACCTTGTACATCATCTCTGTTTATTACAATTTGAATAACTCGATACCAAACTTCTTCGCTCACATAATCACCTGCTATCCTTATTAAATTCAGTATAACGTCAACATACCAAGTATAATCGGTGGCATATTTTTCAGCCAATATTGCTACTTTTAACACCTATAACAATAATATTTTGAGAAATTTGTTTTCATAAATTTTCAATGCAATATTTGACCAAGATTACCATTTCTTCTCGTATGGAATAATCTGCAGTTTCTAAGTAATTTAACATCTCTTGAACAATTTCTTCTGCATTACTCTTGTCACACATAGCATACAGCAAATCAACTGCTTGTTGTCTCACAGAAACGTCTTTTTCCATCTGAAATCATCAATTTTTTTGAGTTTTTTTTTGATATTCTGGCAATGCAAAATTGAATTTTTCAAAACATTTTAAGGAAAAAAACAATTTGACTAGTATTAAAAATTAAAAACTTACTTTCATAGACAAAATTACAACTTCTTGATGTTTTTTAACAGCGTCATGTGAGTATTCTGAGGTTGCGAGATGACACATTGATTCCAAAGCTAAATATCGCAAGTTGGTTTCTCTATTAGAAAGAAACTGACCCAATTGATTACAAGCCCTTACTAAAAGATTAGGCTCGCTGTAAAATAATAGAATATTAATACTCGGATAAAAACCTGAACATAATAATTTTATAAAATTATGAGACACCGTACCTATCATTGTGAATAATTAAACTAATAGCTTCAAAAAGAACGGCATTTTTAGCATTTGAATGTTGAACTTTTTTAGATTTTGGAGGCTCTTGAGCTTTGTTGAGTATTGTTTCTAAACATTCATTTAAACGTCCACGCACGCCAGGATCTTCCGATGGGGGTGTGTAATTTTGCAAAAGCCTGAGTAATTTCACGGAAAGCCAAGGGGCGGGTACAAAATAATATGTGTAATCTTGCAAATCAGTGTAACTTGCTGTAACAATCTACAGAAAAATTATAAGTCAACAATACTTAATAGCACAAATTAAAAAATGATGATAATAAAAAAAATTCTTACTCGACTGAGTCTAGAAACTGCCAAACTAACACATCCTTTATATTCATCAGGGTTTTTCTTAACAAGAGCATCAATAAGACTGGTTGCAGCTGTCACTACACCCATGTGTTGATCATTTAGCAAATGAATGATTCTGGATGTCCATTCTCCTCCAGGAATAATTTCTTGTGATGTTCTAAACAAGCGAAGAAGACAAAGAGCTGCAGATTGCTTAACAACATCCATGGTATCCCTAAAAATGAGCAGAATAATGAAATTTAGTATAAATATGAAAATAAAAATAAAAAAAGACCATACATTTTAAATGCAATCACTGAGAATATATATTATATTACTGATGCACTGTTGATTTAAGGCAAAATAATAATGTTAACTGATTTTGTATTAGAAAATACTGACCCAGACACAAGAAGTTTAGGTATGTCATAGCCAAAAGCTTCAGCCATGTCTTTGCTTCCAATATTTGCAATGCATTGAAGTGCTAAATTTACATGAATTGGATTTCTAGATTGAAGATCATTTTTTATACTTTGAATAATAAGTTTGATTAAATCACTGTTCACACTGACTAATACGGATATAAACAAATAACCCTATCAACAAATACAAATTAAATTTAAAACTTAACACTTAACATCATATAAAATAAATTTACTTACTATTTGTTTTTCTGAATATTTATTAGATGATATAAATACTGCTCATGTGCCCAAATCTATATCGTGCCCAAAGAAATGACAGAGTTGCATACATATTTTTTTGGTACCATCTAAGTCTTCACCTTGAATTGCTTCTATATTGCAAGTTCCTTGTTATCTTTAATTCAGCTTCTTTGCTTTTACCTATAAATATAGATTAAATACATTTTTTTAAATTAAACAAAAATTTAATCTCTCGACATTAATTAAAATTATATATATTAGTTGTTATTCTACATAGTTCATGTAAAATTGTTTCTCCAGTATATAAAAAGAAATTTAAAAAATTTTTTTTTCATAATTTTTTAATCATAATATTTATGAAAGTATACAATTTTTTATTGTATGCATAAATTATCATGTTATATTTAATTAATGGACCAATTTTATGTTACAAATTAAAAAAAAAAAAAACAACACTAAAATAAAGTGAATACTTTACTTACAGTTTCTAATATCTGATATAAACACTGCAAGACCTCTCATACCATCTCCCCTTGTTGCAGGCATGGTTGCTAAATATTGAGAAAATATTACTGAAAAATACAAAAATAAGTATTTAATTAAAAAAAAAAAAAATTAAAATTAAAATTATTAAAAATTTTTGTATACATTAAAAATAAATTAAAATTTTTTTTTTTACATTTAAACTTATTGTGAAGTGTTTAAAAAAATTTTAGGACAGGAATATTTTTTTGCTGTAGTTTTTTTTTTTTACTTAATATGACAAATATTAGAGCGTTTTAAATAAGTATTACTAATATTAGATAACTCTGTGAAACTTAATAAAGCTTCCTGGCTCTCGATTTATTAAATGAAAAATAAAATTTACCGTATATTATTTTGGTAAAACCCAAGAAGAAAGCACATGCATTAATTTTCAAAAGGAGATAAAAGCGAAGCAAGCGCTAAAATAATATTTAATGATTTTTTAATTGATAAAAACCGTACAAAAAAGTCTTATCAGAAATGTAGGAAATGTAGGCGTTTTAATACTATATATATAAAAAAAAAAAAAAAAAAAAAAAAAAAAAACTAGACTACTTTTTACTTAATTTCTAATTTAGTTCAAAGAATTTCTTAAAATATAGAATCATTTTTTTTACCGGCTTATAATATCCGAATAGGGCACAGTTTAGATGGATTAATAGGAAAAAAAAATTAAGTCATTAACTGACATTTCGGTACAAGTATACACAAATGAAATTCTGAGACAGCTCAACACTATTTGTATCACAAAATCAATGAATATGCTATCACTTGCATGATTTGGGAAATTATTCAAAATTTTTACGAAATTCCGCGTCGGCAATATCACCACTTTCACTTACATTTAAATACCTATATTTTTATTATCCTGTAAGATAATTTACACTGTAACTTCACTGTTTAACAATAATTCGGTAATTATGAACCAATAAAGCGCCATTTGCAAAAGAAAATTTTGATCCACCCACTAAGACAAAAAATCCTCCAATCAAATGCAGGGAAATAAATGCAGGGATTATCTTGCGCCTTTTATTAATACCGATCAATATCATTCTCTAATTTAAAACAATTTTTTTTTTTTTAATGGTGGCAGTTCTGTAAATGTCGCTTTTTTTCATAAAATATTGTTTTGATATATTTTTTTTTAAGTTTACGATGACATATTTAAGTTTTTATGTGTTATGAATGCCATTATAAAGTTTTTAAAGTAAAAATATAACTGCTGTAAATGTACAATCATCGTATATTACTATTTGAAAAAGTGTAAAATATTATAATATTAAATATTGGTGAATTTTGTACTTATTTTGGTGAAAGTTGAATGAGGTCAAAGCCCCGAATTCTCATAATTTTTAATTATAAAAAAAAACTAAGTGGTTTTTATAATAAAAGCACTAATGTTTTAAAGTGTAATGAATTATATTTTATTTGATTGAAAAAAGCTTTTTTGTGTACATAGCAAATTTAACAAAGGATTATTTTTATTATTTACTTTCTGCGTAATTACTGAATGATGTATACGAATAGAATGTAAAAATATTAGCGTATTAAGTAATGCTAGCTTTTGAAAAAGTAAAGAATTTGTATAATTGATATACCTATATATACATATTTAAATGTATACATATATATGTGTATTTATAAACTTTTTCAATGTGAAACTTCTTAATTAACCTTAAAAAAGTATTTTTATTTATTAATAACAAAAATGTAGAATTTTATTTTAAAAAAAAAAAATGAATGGTGAAGATACAAAAAGCGAAGAACT